GAGTGAGAGGCTGGACAGGGCTTCATAAAAAATGGGAGTCTGCGCTTGGGGATCCCATGCTGGCAGTGGGTTCCCTCCCATCAGAAGGCCAAAGCAGGCCCCATGGTCCTAGGCTAGCCCAGGCCTGGGCATGGCCAAGGCTGATCCAGAGCTGACTGTTGCTGTCTTGATACATAGGTGCCCCAACCCCCTCCTAGCCTTCTTAGTGCCAGCCAAGGCCAGAGGTTGGGATGAGGGGTGGTGGGAAGTGGGTTCTTCTCCCTGGAGAAACTCAGAGCCTCCTGCTAGGGCATGAATTAGGGTAATTTTCCCAGTTCTGGACAGTGACCCTGCAGGTTGCCATGGGAAGGAAAGGGTCTGATTTCCTCAGCTGCGTTAACCAATAGGCAAACAAGCAAGCAGGCAGAGGCTCCCACAGCTCCAGTCCTGTCGCCACGCTCCTCCCCCAGGCCCGGGACCAAGGGTGGCTCTGTGTCTGTCCCTTTTTCTGCAGGAGTCTTGCCCTTGTCCTTCAGGGAAGTGTGCCCCTTCTAAGTTGTTGATATTAAGTCAGGCGCTATAACCGGTATTGTACCAGGCACACAGTGGGGCTTCCCCAGTCTCTGTATCCTTTAGTCTATGGGACCCCGGTTGAAAGCTTACAGCGGAGAGAGGGGCCGAGAGCTGGGTTCTAGTTATAGCTCTGCCAGCCTTGCTGGGTGGGCTTTGAAAGTCACTTCCATATCTGGACCTTCATTTTCTTATCCATTAAGTCAGGGGTTTGGATCAGCTGGCTTCTAAGTTATTTCTAGTGCTGACTCCTGGTTTGATGGAACCTTGGAGAGCTCCACAAAGACCACAGCCTGGTGGCTCCAGGGCTCTGACTCTCCATTTACCTGCTACTCCCCCCGCAGATGAAGTCAGGTTCCTCCTCCCCACAGGGCAGCTGGAGCCTGGGGCCCAGCCCCTTCCAGCTACAACCTGCTGCCTCTTCCTCCACTCTCTCCCTTCCTCCTTGCTGCCCTCTTTACTTCTGCCCCGCCAAGAATTCCCAGATGCTCTTCCATGCAGGTTTCTGGAACTGGACTCCTGACCACAGCCCCCCTGGCCTCCCCTGTCCTCCTGCTGCCTAGTCTGTGTCTCTGGTGCATTAGAATGGCTCAGAGAAATTATTCACGGGTAACTTCAGACCACTGTCCTGCACCTTTGGGCTCAGCCTACACCAAGCCTTGACCACCGCTTTGCATCCTTGGGCTTTCACTGACGTCTGTCCTGAGGTCTCTGAGACACCCTGCTCACAGCAGCCGGTTCCCTGCCCCCTGCTGCGCTATTCTGGCATCCACAGTGAGGCCCCTCCAGTAACCTGGCTTCCTAGATCCTTGACCACAGTGTTCCCAAGTCTAACAACTCTTCCTGCCTCCTCCTTGGCTGGCTTCTCCCACAACCCTCATGATTTCTGGGAGACTTTACCTTCCAAACAGAAAAATCTGGTGTTCCATTTTCTGTTCCCTGGTTCTGTTTTCCCAATCCTTCTCCTGTTCTGTCTTTTGCAGAAACTGGTTTTTGTTCTCATTATGTTCCCGAGGTTCCAGATCCTTCCAGAAATTCCTGGGAGAGTATCTCGGTATCTCGCTGTTGGCTTCCTCTGCCTCTCAGGAATCCCTTTGAAGTATTCAGGCCCTTAAAGAAAATAAGGGGCTTTCACATACGTTACCATGCTGGCATTCTAACTCCTAGCCTTTGGGTCCACCTCCCTCACAAGGTTGTTAAGTCTTTGAGAGCGAGGGTTCTGGTGTTTACTCGTCCCTGGATATGAGAGACATCTAATAAACGCTTGCAGCATAATATGTGGGTGACTTGGTTTTGATGGAATCAATGTCTGGACTATTGTTTCCTGTAATTAAGAAGTTGTGCAATAAGGTAGAATGCAGAGAAGGTAAAAAAGGAAGTGAGGAGGTGTGAAGGTGATAGGGAGATGGAGGAAGACTCCTGCGGGTGAAAGGCATCCCTGGCATTATCAGAGTGCGTGCTGCCCCCTTGTGGCCACCTGCATCAGGACAGCCTGCGGCGTTACTGCCTTCTCTATCTTTTCGTTATGGACTCTTTCACGCTTGAAAAATTATTGAGTATCCACGGAGCTTTTGTTTATGTGGGATACATAAACAAAATAACTGTTACATCTTTTAACATTAACAATATTAGAAATATTAAAATTTTACAGTACTTATTAATTCACTTAAAGTAGTAAACCCATTATATATTAATGCATTTTTTAAACGAAAAATAATTATATGCTCCCAAAAGAAGCTACTGAAAAGAGTGACATAACTTTTAAAATTTTTGCACATCTGTTTAAAAGAAGACAGCTGGGTTTTCATATCTAATTCGGCATTCAGTGTGTTGTATATGTTGTTTCCGTTGAAGAAATGCAAAGAATCCAGCCTCATACAGATACGTAGTTGGAAAGGGGAGGAATATATTAATAGTCTTTAGAAGTCATTGTGGGTAGTCTTCTTTGATAACCCACCAAAACTCAGCAAGTGGAAGTTTTTTAAAGATTAGTTGCAATATAGAATCTGAAACCATATCAAGGAATCCTTGGGGTCTATCACGAAATTTGAAAGCATCTTTTATCCGGGCGTGATTTTATAACTTCACCTATTGGTCATTTGGAAAACACTGTTTAACTGAGTTATCCACATCTTCCAAATGCAGACACATTTCTCTATCTAACATGTACACACAAAATCACATTTATTAACACCACCATTGATCACGTCAGAAAAGTCTTTAAGCATTGGGAGGCTGTCAACTTATGGTAGTAGACACAAATTTTCCAAAATTCTAATCTATGCTTGAAAGCTCCAATTTTATTATGCTAACAAATCTCATTTGTTGTTTTCCTTAAAGTGAAGTTTCACTCTGTTCATTTTTGAGAAGATGTCTGCTACCTGTACCCTAGCATGAATATCCACAGTTGGGCTATTATTTGTTCCTTCAAGTAAAAAGTATGTTCCATGAAAAAAGTAGCTAGTCCAGCTCTGTTGACTCCATCACACAAGTGCTTTTCCTTGAGACGACCATGGTTGAGGTCTAATAAAATGAACACTTTTCACTACTTCATCAAGAACATTCTCAAATAAAACTTTTTTTTCTTTTTGGAAGAATCCACTGTGAGGAATGCAGTGATGGCTTGCACAGTTTGGGGTCACCACCTTGGCTCTTGCTAAGACACTCGCAGTTTTACCCACTGTTGATTTTGTGTCACAGTGTAAGTATCAGCAGTGATGAAGAGGAGGACCCGGGGAGTCTTGGTTTGCAGGGAGCTTCCTGTGGTGGGTGGTTCAGGGTATATTGTTCTGGAAATAGCGTTGACCTCAATGGCCCAGGTTCCCCGGACCACTCTTTGAGAATCACTGCCTTAGGCGATGCATTACTTGAAGCACACATGTGTGCCCACCTGCTTTTCTTTTCCTTTCCTTCTTTTCCACAGGAGACCTCTTGGAAGAAGCCAGCATGCTGTGGAGCCTCAGGCCCGAGTGAGGAGTGAGGTGGGGATGCTCAGGAAGGGAGCTGCTCTGGCAGAAAGAGGTGAGAGAGGGCTGGGGAGGGTGAGCAGGGCCTAGTCATTCATAACCTAGCAGGTCCTGTTAGGATTTTAGTCCTAAGTGCACAGAACCAGAGAGGGACAGCCACACTGAACTCTTCCTCCCTTCTGATGCCCTCATCCAGAACAGGCGTTTGCCTCAGGGAGCCTCTCGGCCTGTTAGTCCCTAAGAATTTGTTGGTCTCGGGATGGGGCCCCAGGTTCTACTTGCTTTCTCTTCACTCAGAAAGCCACCACCCAGTCTCTCCCTGCGCTTCCTATTCTCCAAGCCTCTCTGCAGAAGGGAACCACTCTCCTCAGCTCCCTGACTTGATGCCCCGAAGCCGAGCCCCTAGGCCTTCTCATTGTTAGAGTTTTACTACCAGGCAGGATGGAGAGACCGCAGAGGCATGGAAAAGCAGAGCAAGTCACAAGGTTCGGGAATGCTACATGTGCCTACAGAATTGGTCCCCAGGCTTCAGTTCTTCATCTCATCCATCTCTGTCTCCAGGGCTGCCCCACTTGCACCCTTGCCCCTGGACAAGCTCACGAACCTCCCTGCTCTCCTCACACTGCTCCTGGGCCTTTCTTTCCAGCCCTGGGCCTGGGTGGATCGACTCGAGAGAATAGTAGGCTGAACTGGCATATTCGAGGGGTCCCTTCGAGGGGGCTTTTCTGGGGACTCTGGGGCTGAGGGTGAGACTGAAGCTCCACTCAGGGCACCCTGTGTGGATTTGGGGCATTCCCTCAGAAAGGGCCATCCAGCAGTCTCAGGAGGCTGTCTCCCCCATGCTGGGAGGTGAGAGCCCCGGCAGGTCCCTGTGGAGGCACATGGCCTACTGCACGTGTGGAAAGTGTCATGTGGAGTTTCCCCTGTGGAGATTCAAGGACTCAGGGAGACCAGAGCTGCAGACTGTGGAACATGTTGGGTGATGACGCTAATGTGGCATTGAGCTGGGAGTGGGCAAGGGGCTGGAGATCCTGGTTTGTAGGAAGCATCCTGAGTGGGTGACAGAATGATGCTGAGCTGGGGGTGGAGGATGAATGGGCCAGCCGGCCACAGGGTCAGAATAAGTTCTAGTGGTGACGACACATTGTGTGCTGCCTCCTGGAATGTCCCTTTCTCTTGCTCTGCCTCCATCCTGCCCCTGCTGGTGACCCAGGTGGAAGGGGACGTGTGGGGCAGGGCGTTGGTGAGTGACCTCCACCCACAGTCTTCGCACTCCTAGAGCAGATCTGTCTCCACAGGGAGCAAGTCTCCAGATGTTGGGACACTACCCCAGGTGCCTCAGGCACCTCCAGGTTGGCCGGGCTTCCAGAGGGCTGGGGACGAGGAAGGAGCTCAGGGAGCATTGGGCAATCTCGTCCTTTCCCAGGGAGGAGGTACCTGGGCTTATTCACAGGGCGAGTCCCTTGCTCTCAGCCTGAGTCTGTCTCACTGAGTTCCTCTCGGTGGTGTGGACAACACTGGCTCGGAGCTTCAGAACTCTGCCCTTCTCTTCTTCTCTACCTTTCGTTAGGGATCCTGGGCTTTCCCCTTCTCTCTGGAAAGCCAGAGCCCCAGTGTTCCTTCCCAGGGAGGGAGTGCCCTCCAGTGCGCGGGAGAGTGAAGGCCAGAGGAGGCTGCAACTGGAGAAGGGCAGGGCCAGGGCCAAGTCTGTAAGGGAGGAACTGCCAGCCAATGAGGGGCGAGCCGCCTGCACCCTGACCTTTGAGTCTGGGACAGCACGGGACCCACAGGTACTTCTGGGGTGAGTGTGAGTGTGTTTCTTCTTGAGAAGCCCTCTCCCATCAGAGGGACAGGATTCTGCCAGGTGGGGTGTTAAGATCAGGAAATGTCCTAGGCCCCAGACCTGGGGCACTCCCAGTCCTGTACTCCCTCAGCTCACCCTGTCCCCCCCTGGGAAGGAGTTCTCTGTACTAGACCCATCCATGTGCCTTTGGATTTCTTGGTCCTGGTATTCCTGGATCTTGCAGTCTCCTCTTTAAGAGTGGGGATCAGCGATCCTACATTGCAGGGTTAGTGTGAGGATTAAATAAGACTGAATGTGCCAATGTCCACACAGGCCTTGCACATAGTAGGCACTCAATGAAATCAAGTTGCCCAGGGAAAGAGGATGAGGGTGTTTCCCCATCCGATGACCACCTGAGATGTGCTGGGGACCAGAGAAGCCTGGCCAGGTGCTGGCCTCCAGGAGACCCACAGTGTGGCAGGGAGCCAGACAGGGGTGCTGTGCAGTAAGATGGCTGTCCCATTTGAAGAGTGATCACAGGTGGGTTAACTGTCAGCCTCTCTTCCAGGGCTGTCTCTACACTCTCCCTGTCGGTGTCCTGGGACCACGTGAGGATGCTGCTGTGGCTCCGTGTCTTTTCCGTTCTGGGTCTCGGGGTCTGGGGTAAGTTTTCCTTCTTAGATCAGAGAGTAACTGAGAAGGATCATCCTAAAGTCTCATAATAGGAATTCTTTAAATGCTTGCTCTCTCTCAGGGACAAAGAATAGCTTTGCATTTAGAACTTAGGACTGCGAGTCCATAGACTGGGGTTCAAATCCTTGCCTCTCCTCCAGCAAAGATTTCAAACAAGTTATTCAACTCTTTCACCCCTAATTTTCCCACATGACAATTCAGACAAAGTTATGATCTCCCAAGCTTGTTGTGAGGGTTAAATGCAATAATGCACATGAAAGACTTTGCATTTGGGCAATGGGAACAATGATCTTATTTGTATTATTATCATGTCAACCAGAGTCAGCCTATGACTGGGGTTTGTGCTTGTCACTAAGAAAAAGTTCCTTGGGGGTAGGATGTCATTCCCATGGTCCCTCCCACAGGAGCGTGGGCATAGCAAGTGCCCCCCAAATCTATCCCCTCCAGAACAACTGACTTGGTTTGCGCAAGTTGTTCTGATCCCTTCTGCACATAGTCTCGCCTGTAGCTTCCATTAGGTAAATCCACACGAGAGAGGATGTGGTGGTTGAAGTGTCTGGATGCATTTCCAGGTTGGCTGTTTTTTTTTTTTTTTTTTTTTTGCCGATTGTGTGTATAGATACAGCTGATGAGTAAAGGACAATATTTCCGACTCCCTACCCTTGGCTATTTGACTGTATTCCTGGGGGATAACTTAGGGTTGGTGTTGGAGAAAACCACGCCACGTGCTGCTATTGGAGGTGGTCCTCTGGTCAGCCTGGAGGTCAGCCTCCTGAGAGGGCTTGGGGATCTGGGAAGGCAGACGGGTTGTGGAGAGTAGGTGGCCACTTCTGGCCTGAGCCTGTGCCCCTGAGATGGCTCATTCTAGGGCTCTCTGAGGATTGATGCCGAGTGGAATATTCCTTTGCAGGTGATTCCCCCTGGGATGCAACACGAGCTAAACGCATGTCAGAGGGGCTTCGGTACCTGTTTGGCAACATCACCCAGCTCATTGAAAAAGGCAAACTCGGTGTCAATGGTGAGGAGGCCTGAAGACTGGCTGGAGTTTCTCATGTGATCAGAAGTGTTGCTCAGATCTGACAGCCACTTGTGGCTGGGATGGGGGCAGATGGGGCTGAGATGCAGAGAGGTGCACTGGCAAACCACCTGCACAGATGGCCATGGGCCTTGGGGGCTGGAGGTGGTGCTGGGAGGGATCCGAAACCCAGGAAAGGGAGAGGTAGCCTCTGCACTCACAGGTCCCCCAACCTGGGGGCGAGTAGAAGTGAAATGAGGATGTGGAAGTGAGAAGAGGAGGGCTGCCCCCTGGCTGAAGACCTCTTCCTAGGGCTCTCTCACCACCATGGGGCAGACACAGTCTAGAAGGCTTTTATGGCCCAGGGGCCTAATGCGGCAGCAATGGGACAAGATGCACTCCCCTGTGATTCTGCTACAGATATCTCCACTGTGGTCTCTCGCAAGGAGTGGGGGGTGGAAGCTGTTGGCTGTGGCACACACCTGACCTCTCCAGTGAATTTTCTTGTCACGCACCACGTCCCTGGACTGGAGTGTCACAACCAGACTGTCTGTAGTCAGAGGCTGCGGGAACTGCAGGCCCATCATGTGCACAACAACAGCTGGTGTGACGTGGCCTACAAGTAAGAGGCTGGGCTGGAGGCACGTGGAAGCACGTGGTCAAAGCTTCTCCTTAGGGTGTTTCTCTCATTCCTTCTTATCACTGTTTTCCTCATTTTCCAGTTGAGGTTATATGGGGTTTGTAGTGAATAAAACAGTAAAAAACTCTTTAAAATTCCAAATCCTTTGGAATTTTTATGAGGTCCTTGACTCTGAGATCTCCTAAAAGGAAGCAAGGAAGGTTAAGTAATAACTATACTTTCTGCTTGCCTCTCCCCTGCCACACAGCACATGGCAGGTTACCAATGACTTCCATGCGCATGAGTGCGTTTGCTCCACCGACGATGTGTGAGGTTGCAGGGCAGGTGTTACTGTCCCCATGCTGTGGGCGATGGGACCAAGCTCAAAACTGGTTCTTTGCCCATCGCCTGTCCCACTACACTGCACGAAGGCGCTTTCACCTGGGTGAGGCATCTCATACCCCAGAGGTCACTCTCGTAGACCATTTTGGTGCCTAGGACCACATACCCTTGGCCCATCTCTGACTTCCGCTAGGGTGGATAGCTCCTGTGCGTGGTGATGGCTTTCTGCCACAAGTCCCCACTGCATCTCTCTCTTTTCTGCTTCAGGCTTTCATTCAAGACTCTGAGAGTGAAGGGGAGTTAAGGCCCCCCGGGGAGCAGGAGTTGTATATAACTTCCTTAGACCCAAGTCCTTCTAAGGGGCAATTCTAAGGTGCATACACATGGTTACTTGGAAGGTCACGTGTCGGCAGAGGGACTGAGACCCAGGTGGCCATGGTGAAGCCAGCTCAGTTCCACCCACTTTGTTCCACTCACTCTCCTTGTTCCCTCACTCTGACTTCAAGGGATCCCTTCCTGAATAAACTTTGGGCATCCGTGTCCTTGTCTGAGGCTCTCCTTCCTGGGAAGTCTATGTAAGACAGTCACCCTGGCAGGGAGAAACCACATGAACAGGCTGCGTGGAGATTACACGGGCAGTATGCATTTTGGAGGAAGGAGGAGGCCATGTTTGAGGAAATGTGAAAGCTGAGAAGAAGCTTACATTGTGTGGTTGGGTTTGTGTTAGTTACTGTGGAGGCTCCAGGACCTCTTCTCCTTCTGAGTGTGCAGGATGACTTATATAAAACCCTGGCATTTGAACAAGGGAGGGAGGTGGGGAGCATAGGGGTGGGTGCTTCTGAATTCTCAGGATGAGTATAAGTGACTTGGTCTTTCCGTCATCTGGGATGAGTCCATGCCAATTCTCTTTAGGGAATGTGGCTGGAGCCCTTCTCCCTTTGGAGGCTGGGTAAGGGGTTCCTCTTGCAGGGATGTGCCATGTGCCAGCCACTAAACCTGTATTACCCTGCCCCACAGCTTCCTGGTTGGGGACGATGGCAGAGTGTATGAAGGTATTGGCTGGGACATCCAAGGCATGCACACCCAGGGCTACAACAACATCTCCCTGGGCTTTGCCTTCTTCGGCACCAAGGAAGGTAATGGTCATCTCAGCTGTCCCTTCTCGGAAGAGTTATCTACTTCTTTGTCTCCAGACTGTCTCCTCACCCTTCTCATACTTCCCTGATGATCCACTCTCTCCTGGAATTCTCCTCTCCCCTGACTTCCATGAATGGCGTTAGTGGTCCTCCTCCTACTGCTCTGGGATCCCTCTGCGGCATCTGTAGCAGAATCCTTTTCCTCTGGCCATCTCACAGTGCAGGTGCTAGCCAGTCTTCTCCCCACAGCCTTATTCTCCTCCCACTCTCATCTTGGAAGGATCACTTCAGCTCTCACTTTTGTGTCAATGACTATCACATATTCCTCTCTAGCTCTATCACTTCTGTAGCGCCAGGCTGTGCTTTCTTATTTCCTGCTAGGAGCCTCTCCTTCCATCTTTCTCACTCCAAGATTTTCTATGCAATTATTAAAAACCACTTGAGGGCTCTGATCCCTGAGTCCCTTCCGCTTTCTTCTAGTCTCATTGTGGCCCCACTCCACCCTCATCCTACATACATACTCCAGGACCATCCATTGACTTTCTGCACCCTTGACTGGTAACAAAGCTCTTGCACATCTAGTTTCTCATTGTCCCCTGACAATACCCTTTGAGATGGTCCAGAGAAATTTCATGGTCACTAAGACACAAAGGTACAGCCTGAGTTTCAGAGAGGTGGGTGACCCAGGTGACACAGCTGTAAGGAGAGGAATCAGAGCATGAGCCTATATCTTCCATTTCCATCTCCAGGGTGGTTTCCAGGACACCAGAAGACTCTTTGTGTTCAGCTTGGTTTGTTTTCATGACCACTCTTTGCCTCCTGGGCATCACCTTGTTAGCTGTGGAACCTTGAGCATGTTATTTCCTAGAGGCTCAAGTTGCTCTTTGTGAGCGATGGGGTTAACAATAGAATCTACCTCAGAGGGTTGTGGTGTAGATTAAAGAAGTTAATGCAGGTAAAGAGACCAGCATGTGCCTGGAAGGGCCTCTACTGATGGGAAACCCTGACCCGGTCAGGTGGGTGCCCTTGAGCATGACACCGCCTTCCAGCTGTTCCACAGAGACAGAGAGAAAGAGGATGAATGAGATCTTGGTGGGTCATTGGGAAAAGTCTTCGCCTTGGGCCACCGAGTCTCTGTCTAAGTGGGTCTTTGACTCTCAGGCTTTCCGACCTGGGGGATGAGCCTATTCCCCTGCAACAGCTATGCAGGGGTTGGCAAGGCATCCCATCCTTTCCCACAGCCCCCTGAAACTCAGGCCAGACCAAGGTTTCCCACAGATCACCTTTTTCCAGGCCACAGTCCCAGCCCTGCTGCCCTGTCAGCCATGGAAGGCCTGATCTCCTCTGCTGTCCGGAAGGGCCACCTGTCATCTCTGTATGTTCAGCCACTTCTTGTGAAAGGTGAGGACTGCCTGGCCCCTCTGCAGAAGGCAAGTCCAAAGAAAGGTAAGGCCTTCAGGCCCGCTGGGCCTCCCTCCAGAGTCCCCGCCACCAACTTCCAAACACCATGGGAGTGACCCTTCCAGTCAGGCTACCATTGGATTCATTTTGACAGGCAAATGGTCACCTAGCTCTCTGAAACTTTAGGACTGGCAAACCTCGAGTGGGACCTTTCAGGTCATGTCTTTATCCTTCATATTCCTAGAATGATAGAGCCATGCACTATCTCTGGTGTAATATATGTGCACTAACTTCTTCAATCATTCAACAATCATCTACTGAGCACCTGCTAGTCACTGAGGATATTCCAAGGAAGGAAAGACACGGGAACAGTGGCCCCATGGAGTTTCAATCTAGAGGGAGAGAAGGACAATAAAGAAATAAACAAGTGAAATATTTGGTATGTTTTATAGTGAAAAGTGCTGTGGAGGAAAAAAGAACCATGGAGAGGGATGGGATATACGAACACACAAGCACAAACGCACATCTTTCTGAACACAAAAACTAGAACAATGCTGATAGACTGAAGTGCTTAAGTCACTGCTTACACTGAATTCAGAGGAAGATTTTAACATAATTTAGGTAATAAAAAGCAGATAAAAGGTAGATTTTGGGTTTAACACGCAGGAACATCAAAATCAGTATAATTAATGAGCACTTACAGCCTTTTCTGGGGCTTAATAAAGTTGTAAAGAAAATTAACTCTATTATATTAAAGCTCTGAGTAAACTTGATCTCTGCCTTTGGATTGGTGCCATCTTTCAATATTAATAACTGCTTACTTTGAAAGAGAATTTTGTGGACTATAAGTAACTTTCAAAGACATGTCTTCAGATGAAAATTCAGCTGATTTCTCCAAAAGGCTCTGTTCCACTTGTACACATGCACACACACACACACACACACACACACACGAGACAATCCTGCAGATAAATAAGCACACCATGCTCTTGGAATAAAGCATCCATGTCCCCTCAGGATCAACATTCCCACTGTCCTCTGGGTTCTATTTTTTGGGTTATAACCCACAGGTTTATGGTTCCTGCCTCTTGAGTCCAATCCCTCTATGCAGACTTACGCTGTTCCCAGGTGGGCTGTTCTGAGAGCTGCTGGGATCTCTCGAATTCCACAGTCAGGGTCAGGTCAGGATGCCCAGAGGGTGGTGAGGATGTTCAGTAGTAAGGTGGTGACAAGGGTGGGCAAAATGAATCCTCACGTCCATGTTTTCCTGCCCCACCACAGCTTGCCCCTACATTGTCCCTCGGTCTGATTGGGAGGCCAGGGAGACCCACTGCCCCAAGATGAACCTCCCGGCTAAGTACGTCATCATCATCCACACCTCTGGGAGAGTCTGCAACATGTCTGATGAGTGCCGCCTGCTGGTCCAAGATATCCAGTCCCTCTTGATGGACAGATTCAACTCCTGCGACATTGGGTATAAGTAAGTCAACCTGAGGACATGAGGGCTTCTTTTCCATTGCGGGCAGACCCTGAACCTCTGAAAAGGAGGGGAAAGGGAACTAACATTTACTGAGTGCTCACCATACGAGAGGTGCTCCATGTATAACCACGTTGATTTCTCACACAACCCTGGGTGGGTCCTAGTTAGGATATAGCTAAAGGAGTGGTCATTCCCCTCGAGCATGTTCTCCAATCGTGTGTCCTTTTTAAAGGTCATATATTGACATGATGGAGGCCAAGGCTCTGCTGAAAAGATATTAGAGGAAGTTGTATGCATGCAAGACTGTTAAACCTGTAGAAAGGATAATCTAAAGGTTGTGCCTTTTTCCTGTAATAGCTTCCCACTACTCAGTGGCTCAGGCTCTGCCCCTCAGTTTGGCCACAACCTGAAGTGTGTCTCCTTGGTGCTAGACTGTTCCTCTGCATCTGGGAGCTCTCAACCTTCTTGGGAGAATATCTTTCCTGTTTCAAGGCAGGGGAGAGACCAGATAATACCTTTTTATTTCTCTAATGCGAAGGCCTGTAATTCTTTAATAGAGAAGGCACTAACCTAATGGGAGAGTAGAAACTTCTTGAAAGATGCTCTCAGAGCTTGTGGATAAGATGTCTGGGATTGGATGCCATCTAATGTACAGAAACAGTCACACTGAATTTTAAGTGTTAGGATGGGCCACCACTGGCCCAGATGGCATAATGGTGCACAACAATCAAAGAAGCCCTTTCCTAGGGCTCTTCACGGCTTAGCTGGTGCAGCTGGACTTTAGTCCCTACTTGCCCCAAAGCCAGGCTCCTCTGTGCAGGGTGCAACCACCAACCTGTGCGCAGAGACCCTGCCTTAGATGGATTTACCATTACTTGGCATATGCTTCTGGGCTGACTGCCTCTCCTCTCTCTGTTCCCATTTTAGTAACAACCCTTTGAAGATAGGAGAAAACTTTTTCTCCAGGATCTATCATCTATTGGAGCCTACCACATGCTTTGCTAGATCCTGCTATGCAGAATTTTTGCAGAATTGCTCTCTTCAATTAGAGTGGATACCTGAGAATTGACTATAAATTTGGAAATCCAACACTGGAAAATGATATAGGCTGAGGGAGGTCCTTTCCCTTTTCCCATTCAGGTTTCAGAGGGCAGTTTCCTGTCCCTTGGCTTTGGCCTTTTGTTGTGTCCCCTGTATCATAACTCAGTGACCATGCTGTTTGCTTACCTTGAGATGGTCTGCAGTCAGGAGAAAACACCCACTTGGTATAAATTAACCCACTGAGAACATGATTGAGTGCCTGCTCTGTGTGGACATTAGGCTCTGCTCTGGGGACGCCATCAGGTGTTGCTCAGATATGGTCCTTACCTTCTGGGCTAATAGTCTGGTGAAAGAGAAAGATAATTACACAAATAAATCCTAATAGAGTCCATTAGGGGTTATGATAGAGGATGCACAGGGTGTAAACAGGAAGCGTTTGAAACACTCATTAGGTTTCTGAGGGAATGGATGTGAAGGAAGCGCTAGGGCAGGGAGTAACGTATCAGCTGGGACCTTAGGGATGAGTGGGAGCTGGTCAGAGGACAGAGGAGTGTTTCAGGCAGAGGGAAAGGACCTCTGTGGAAAGGCCTGGATGCAGAACTGAGCATGGTGGCTTTGAGGAGCTGAGAGAATTTTATCATGATAAAAATAGATGCCAAAGAGGGGTATGGTGAGAAGTGAGGCTAGGGAGGAAAACAGGGGCCTTATCATGAAAGATCCTGTCACTTAAGCTGGGGGGTTTGGACTCTGTTACAAGGGCTGAAAGCAGCAGGGTTTGATATAAGATTTGTATTAGAAGGCCACTCACAACTTCAGGAATGGAGAGGAAAAGGGCAAAACTGGTGGTGGGGAGATCAATCCGAGGACTGTGCAGCAATCCAAGCAAGACAGGTGGTGATACGGCTGGGGGCTGGCAGCTGCCATGGAGAGGAGCGGAGGAATCTAAGAGGTCAATGAATGTTGGTGGTTCATGAAGAGGGTGCAGGGGTCAATGAGGGAGAGTGGTTGGGAGAAGCAGTGGGTGAAGCCGGTGGTTGATGCCTGTATTTCTGGCTGGGGCTGATTAGAGGATGGGTGGTGGTGCCTTTCACCAAGATGGGGGTCCCAGAAGGCAGAACAGGTGGGGAAGAAGGTGGGTCCAGATATGGACAAGTGGACTTTCCTGAGTGGCAACTGAAGCAAAGGTAGCGGATGGGTTAGTCCTGGGAGATCGTGTCGAGTGAGAAGAGGAGAGGGCTTAGGGCAGCATCCTGAGGAACCCCACATGTACAGGAAAGGGCACAGGAAGACGAGGTGCAGCGAAGTCTGAGGCGCAGAAGCCAGAGAAGAAGACAGCTGGGAAAGTGCAGTGGATGGGAGCTGAGGGGAGAGAATGCTTGAGAAGCTGCAAGGGAGGGGTCTGCAGGGCACATGTAGAGGGATAAGGTAAGGTACCATCAGAGAAATGTGTTTTATACTTAGTCGTATGGAGGTCACAGGTCACCTTGGGGGAAGCAGTTCCATAGGTGAAGTGTGAAAGGCCAGGTGGCACACTGTCATCCTTTTTTCTTCATAGACTGAGAGCTACTGGGGGCAGCAGTGGTGTTGGAGCCAGATGGGCTCATGAGAGTGGATTGGTGGAGATTCAGGAATTTCGAGAACCAGTTGTTAAATCATTGGTAGCCCGTAATCAGCCATGCTGGGAGTTTTACACCAGAGAAATCAGCAAAGGCTACAAATCTGGGCTTCTTGCTCTTCCATCTCCCCCGTGTGAGCTGGTTTGCTAGCACACTACTGGCAAGGACTCTGTCTTTTTTACAATCCAGTGCTTAGAATTCAATAGCTAATCAACGTTTGATGAGTAAAGGCATGAATGAGTGAAGGAAACAATCCCAGAGTATCTTTCTTTCATGCTGATCTCCATCTCCCCTTGCTGTCCTCTAGCTTCCTCGTGGGCCAGGATGGTGTCCTTTATGAAGGAGTGGGCTGGAATGTCCAAGGCTCCCACACTGCTGGCTACAATGACATTGCCCTGGGCATCGCCTTCATGGGCACCTTCTCAGGTAAGTGGATGCTTTGGGCAGTAGTGGTCATTGTACAGTCACACATCATTTAACCTCAGGGATACGTTCTGAGAAATGCATCCTTAGGCAATTTTGTCCTTGTGTGGACAGCATAGAGTGTACTTACACAAACCTAGATGATATAGCCTACTGCACACCTGGGTTATATGGTACTAATTTATGGGGTCACTGTCGTATATGTGGTCCATTGTTGACCGAAATGTCATTATGTGGCTCACGACCATATGGTGTTTGAGGGAGAATATCTGACACGGAAGACAACGATATCAGACTCAGGCATCATTTTAGTGCTTGCAAATGCTGGATTTTCCCAGCTTAAAATTTGATGTAATAATTGTGTATATTATCTCAGGCTCTGCTCTTCTGATTCAGGAAGAACTTTGGTGCAGAGGAATCTGAAATCTTGACTTGGTTTTCTGTCTGTCCCTATAGAGTAGCTGGCAACAGTAGATATGCTATCTTGGTGGTTTGGGTGGGTCGGGGAGGGATCTAGGAGTGTGTCTTGTCCCGGGCAGGGTGCTCTGGAATCCTATAACTGACTGGCCAGCTGTGTTTTGCAGGTACCCCGCCCAATGCTGCAGCCCTGGAGGCAGCCCAGAACCTGATCCAGTGTGCAGTGGATGAGGGATATTTGGATCCCAACTACCTGCTGGTGGCACAGAGTGATCTTATCAAAACCTTGTCTCCTGGGCAGGCTTTGTACAACATCATCAGCTCCTGGCCTCATTTCAAACACTGAGGGAGCCCCTGCTCCTTCTGAGGCTGCTCCCTCTGCCACCCGGCTTCTAGCCGCCCATGCTTTCACCCTCCATCCTAGCTCAACTCCTCGTGTCCCCTCCCTGCCACTACCCCTCCTGTCTTGGGTTAGTATGGTCCTCTCCTGCTGGCATCCTCCAGCATCCTCCAAACCCCATAGCTGGGCATTCCCAGCCCTCTGAGTCTGGGCCCAGCCTTCCTCTCTCCTCATCTTCCTCTCCCCTGGGCACCCACCTCCTCAGCCAGGTGAGAATCTAGGCTGGTCCACGTTTGACTTCTCATTCCCTTTGCTCACACCCCTCTGCCTGGTGTGCCTTCCCCTGCTGTCTGCCTGGCAGCCCCCAACCTCACCCATGAGCCAGGTCAATGCCCAGCCCCTCCTCTCTGCCCACATGCTGACTTGTCATATTTGGATGCAGCCCTGAGTTCAGGGCTCAATTTTTTATAGACGTGTCTGTTCTCGCCACTGGATTGTGAGGTCATCCGGTTTTATTCCTCTCTGTGTCTTCAGTTTTTCAGCAGTATCTAGAAGCCAGTAAGTGTGACAGATGTTTGTTGAAGAAATGGATGACGAAATGAATAAGTGGATCAAGTCCCTTGCCAGTTTCCTCTGTCGTCCCCTCTCTGGGGATGCCTTCCTGGACAGTCCCCCATCCCACCAACATTTTCTCTGTTCCTGTTCCCTCCCAGTCCTGGGCCAGAGCTGGCTTTGGTTCCTTTTCTGGAATGTTTGCTGTGTCTCTAGAGTTCTGTGTCCCTGTCCTCTCTGAGCTTCTGAGGGCAGGGACGTTGCACTCCTCCAGGCCCACGTCCGGGCTGTGTTCACACAAGTCAATCCAGTGCCTGCTGCCTTCTCTTGCCTGCCAAGCCCTCTGGACATTGGGCTGAGCGAGGACCCAGAGTCGTGGGATTCTGCAGCCCTCCCTGCCCAGGCTCTTCAATCTCTTATTGGAAGCAGAAGATGTGTTCTTTGTTTTTTCTGGGTCTTGGTCTGGAAAAAGGGGTAGGAGAGACAGAGGAAAACTGATAGGATAAATAAAAGGAAAAAAATTGTGTATAAAGAGCCATAGATTTTGACCACACTGTGGAAGATCTGTGTTTCTATTCTCCAGTCATGCTGTGATTCCCTATTGAAGGGATTTACTCACATGTTCCCTGAACACTGCTCCTCCATCTATTTCTTCCTGTCCACATGCTCCCCTCTAAATGAGCAGAATTTCAAGTAGTATATGTATTTCTTGCTTTGCCTGCATGATAAGATGTCTCCTATGGGCATTGGCTAATGGTTTGGCCTGATGACCAAGGACTGGAAAGAGTAAGATTGGACAATCGGTGTCCCACGTGAATGCTCATCAAAAGGTATTTGTTGCAGAGCAGAGTCTTAAAAATCAGGTGAATAAGATGATTTTAGTCTATTTCACTAAACACCTGGGTACTTGCTCAAGGGACTCATGTGGCAGAGATGAAGGCTATACCTGGGCTCAACAACAATGAATATCTATTCGCTAAACTCATCTGGCTACCACTTCTGTTGAATGTCAAACCCGCCAGTGGCAGAGGCCAATGATGAGTTCCCAATTGAGGCTGTTACCTGGGAGGTCCAGCTACCGCCTGGCAATAGGCTGATTACCTTGTGGTAGGTTTAGCGGCCAGGACAGATACTTGATATGGATGTGCCACCTTGCACGCAATGCTTCTGGCAGCACCACCACCTGTGGACTTCTTGAACACCTTATTCACAATGATGGAGTCTCACACACCATTGTTTCTGGCAAAGATAAACGCGTGACAGCAAAAAAGGCATGGTCGAAGATGGTAGCCCTAGAATAAATTTTGAATGTCCCCAAGCCCTCCCATAAAAAGACATAAAGCAACTAGGATAGCAAAACAAATGAAAACCCACAGGCAAAATAAACTCAGCAGAGTGACAAAGTCTCTTCACAAACCGCAAATACAAGCAGGTGGGGACAAACCACCAAGAGCCATAAGATCTATATGGTACCGGCACCTGTGTAGGAGGAAACAGAGGAAACAGCAGGGGGCCCGATGGATCTGAGAACCTCAAATAACCAAGAGGTACTTGCCCAACGGGTTAGACAGCTCAGCGGCTGAGATCAGGATGGGTTTACACACTCCAGCGGTGTGTGCCAACAAGGGTTCTGTGGTGCATCTGCGGGACCTGGAGCAGTTGGTTCCTATGACCCTCGACACCAGCCAGCCAAGGCTCCCTTCTAGAACCAAGTCCCACAGGGGAGAACACCTGGGAGAGAATCTAATACAGGTCATGGATAAGAGATACAGAAGAAAAGAGGAAGATTCAGATAAAAGGCTGGGAGAGTCAAACTCAGAGCTCTCTGAACAGAAGCCGCCACATGCTCGAAGACTTGCTTGACAAGAATGACAAAGAGGGAGCTCTGGAGCGATGAGATTAGGAAAACTATCCCAAACCATACATCCCCTTTAAAAGCTCAGGAAAACTAATTTTTCCTAATTAAAACTAATTAAAATAAGCAAAAGAAAAGAATTGAGGTCCAACCTCATATCAAGTTATTATAAGACAAAAAGAGAGTCAGGCATAGAGGAGGTCATGAGGGTGGGGCCCTCATGCTGGGATTTGTGCCCTTAGAAGAAGAGACACCAGATCTCTTGCTCTCTCTCTTTCCCCGCTGTGTGAGGACACACTGAGGAGGCAATTGTCTACCAGCCAAGAAGGGAGCTTTCATCAGAAACTGACCTTGCTGGCACCTTGATCTTAGACTTCTAGCCTCCAGAATGGTGAGAAAATACATTTCTGTTGTTTAAGTTGCTCAGTCTATGGTATTCTGTTAAGGCAGCCCGAGCTAAGACATCAATATATCTTAATTTTTATTTTTAAAACTCCAGATATTTAAATAATCGTGGCTGATTTAGTGGAAGTACAAAACTAAAAATCATGTGCAGGCCCTGTGAAACGTGTCTCCAAGAAGTCAGGTGCAACCTCTGCTCTGAGGGTAGCTGTTGGGGTGCTGGTCCAGTGTCCCCCTTCTGGCCCTGAGCTTCTTAGGGCGGAGAGCTTGTCTAGTTCATCTCTGTATTCCAAGCACCTAGCCAGAGCTAGGCACTAGGTGGCTTAGTAAGTTTTGTGATTTTTGGAGTCCATTTCAAATATAACCCTCTTGGAGAAGACTTCCCTTCGCGTCCACCTACCCGACCCCTGGACCTGCATCCTTGGCAGAGGACGCCTCCAGCTTCCCTTAACACTGTGCACCTCCTTCTATTAAGCCAGACTGCCTAGCACCTGCTTTATGATAGTTGATGTCTCTGCATCTCCTCCAGATTATGATCTCCTTGAGGCCAGGGCCTTATTCATGGCTCTACCCTCAGTGCTTAGCATGGTGCTGGGCAGTGCCTGGCCCACAGTTGATGCTCAGTGAATAAATGCTGAATAAATAAAGGCATGAATGAGTGAATGAACAAATGAATGAACATCAGGTCTGTTCACCATTGCCCTATGATTTTGCTCAGAGCCACTGACTGTGATTACATATAATCACATGATATATATTATATAATTACATGTAATCACATCATACATATCATTATACATTACGTATGTTATATATGACGTATTTGATTCAGGTGGAAAATAAAATAGAGGGAGGAGAGGGAAGGGAAGAAGGATCAGGAGAAGCCTGGAAAGAGGAGGTAGACTGAAGCCAGGGACTCCACATTTACTGTGTGCCATCCACAGAGAGGAGTCCTCACTGTGGAATCCCCCGTCATTGGTGGGTCCCTTGTTTCTAAGCCCGTGGCAGGCAGATGGTTATTCCAACCTCTGCAGGGCTGAGGGACTCAAAGTTCTCACCCTTAGCCTGACACACAGGAGCGCCTGCCCCCGACAGGCTCCTAGCTAAACCAACGTCCCCAGTTAAGAGTGAGGGGACACAAAGTGTAGGTTCTTCTCCTCAAGGGTACTACTCATCAAAGAGGGAGGCAATTCTGCTGGTGCCTGAATAGAGGCAACTGTCCTGACTGTGTTTTTAGTCACTGGGAGGGAGCCATGGCAGTTTCTTCAGATGGCTATTCAAACATGAAACAAAACAAAGTAGAACAGAGGTGTATTCACACCCAATCAAACCAGCACTCTTTCCCCATCCCCAGGACAGAGAGGCTTTGTCCTCACATCCTGCTGATGCCTTTGGAGCTTTTCTCCTTCTAGAGAGCAGTCAAGGTCATTGTAACTTGATTTTGCCCTCTCCCATCACTAAGATATGGTGCAGGTTGTTCCATCTGATATACAGAATGACAGTTCCAAGTTCTCTTCCTCCCGCTCTGAAGGATCAGAATTCCCCGTGCCCACTAGATGGTGAAGATGAGAGCTGGGTTCTAGATCTTGCTTTGCCTGACTTCTTCTGTGGTCTTACAAAAGTATTTCCGTCTCTGGGCTTTAGTATTCTTTTACATAAAATGAGGAGTTTGGACCACTTCTAGAGCTGAGTAGAGTTTCCAGATTCTGTGTTATCTTGAGCCTCAAGGCTACAGGTCCCTCTTCAGAATCCAGGTTTTCCTGCTGCCCCACCAGCAGAAGACACCCCTGTCCTATCTGTGTACACTGACCTCTCCTCCTCAGAGGGATCTGAGGTCTGGAGAGAGTCTCAGACTCTCAGAAGTGGGCCTTGAGCCTAGCACCTTCCAGAATGAATTCCAATCCTTTGCCTCCCCATTCTCTCCCTTCATCCCAAGTCTCCTTCCAAGGTGCTTTGTGCAGCCATAGTATTATCTGGCAGTATTGTCTGCTAACTTCCTGACACTGTCTAATACATTCACAGTCTACTCACTCCCCTGCATTTTTTTGTGCATTAGAAGGTTTCAGCATACGCTTCCTGTCCCCGAAGTGTCTTCAGACCATGGTCCTGTGCTTTGGCTCAGTCAAGACCAAGACTTGACCACCCCTTTGGCCTCTGGGCTGCTTCGACATTCGTGTTGAGAACACTTCCATTATCTTGGTTCCTTCAACCCTCTCAATTCCAAATGCTTTCCCTTGACTTCATCTCAGTTGTCCCTGATCACAGAAGTCATCATCTCTGGGGAATACCTCACCTCCCAAACTGAGAACCCTGGAAATCCCTTTTATAGTCCCAGTCTCTTATACTTCTGACATTGCTCCCACCATTTCACTCCCTTGCTGAGCTCAAGCATGAAGCCAGGGAATTATGGCTTAATAGCCTATTTAATAGCCTCAATTCTTGACTTAATAATCCATTCCTGGCCTCCCCATTCCTCCTTATAATTCCATTTACAGTATTTCACTTTACAAACAACACGGATTTCCACATTACACCTCATTGTCACAACAATTGTTGCTGTGTCCCACGCTGTATTATTAACTCCTTGAAAGTGAATTAATTCTTGTTTTACTTATCCTTGGATAATGAGCTTCACATAGAGTATACCCTAATAATTGTGTGCAGAGTAATTGAATGAATAAGATGGTTTTGATTTGAAGGATTGGTGTGGCCAGGATAATGCTGCAAATACGTATAGAACACTTACAAGTTCTCCTCAAAAGATACTAAAAAAATTTCTAAAAAAATTCTGTGGTCCTTTTGCCCTGAAACCTTTAAACGTGGTAGTAAATGAAGGAGCTGAAAGTTTTTTTGACTGCCCTAATATTTTTTATGTTGCCCAAGAGCTTAATACCTATCTTTCAGTGTCAATAAAATATTGAAGTATATTGAAATGAGATTTAACAAAAATTAGCTTAAAACCATCATCTATTTTTGATGGAAAAGTCAAATTAATGCCCTTAATAAAGATACATTCCAGACCTCAACATAAGTTAGATATTTTATAATAACCATTTTTAAATTCATTTGCTCAATACTAACTTGGCATAATGTATTTAATAAAATTATTTTTATGAGCAAAATTACGTAGGAATCACAATTCAGTGTTTTTAATGTCCTCGAAAGTAGAGAACTTAAAGAAATTATTTTAAAAGGAGGCAAAAATGTTTATGAAATGTATTAATGATGCCAACAAATTAGGAATCCCTTGACTTTGACAATAACTTCTCCAGTGTAGCAAATATTA